ACACCAAAGGGCAGTGAATACTGTTCGATTTTCACCTTCTGGTCAATTTCTGGCATCTGGTGATGACGGTATGAAATGACAGTTCTTTGGTTAATTTCTTCAATCTCATTATTGTAATTTTTTAAAATATTTTTCATTACTGTTGATATCTTGGTAAAACGTTTTATTCAATTCGCTCTTCTTTGCTATTGTGTTTGTGTCTTTTGATTAAATTTAGATTTATCTTCAAATTTGCTACTTTTATTTTTTGAAGAATTGCTTCATTTCACCACCCAAGTTCATTTTAATTTATCATTAGTTGTGCCTGAAAGGGTTAAGGAAAGTTATGCGTTTTTCTGTCTCAATTAGCCAACATCTAATACATAGTTATATATTTTTGAAGCAGTGAAAGTGCTAAAACAAAACATTCGGGACAAACAAATAATGTATGATATCACACGTAATAATAGTTCAAATTGTTCAAAAAATTGTCACCCCAACTGGGAATTGTATCCATGACTTCTGGTGTACATCCAGTTGCTAATTGCTATGGTGCCAGGGTGGTGGTGTTTGAAGATTACTTTCTGAGAAGAGTAATAGGTTTTGATAAATGCTGAGAAGAGTAATAGGCTGATAAATGCTGTTAAAACTGAATCTGTGTGGGAGAAAGTAGAAATGATTAGAAAGGGACCAGTTTTACTGCTTTAAAGAAGTGTTTTTTAATCTACCTTGGTAAATCCTAAAAAATACTGCAAATTTAAGTATAATATCTGTTCTTCGAAATAGCAAACGAAAGTTTTTTTGCTACACCTAAACTAACAGAATTGTAAACTACTTAACAATTCGTTTTCATGGCAACCAATGTCAACTGTCCTGTGTTGAAATAAGGAGAGGAGGAGCTGATGTCACCCAAACAAATTATTTTTGCACACCAAAAAAAGTGCAAATAATAAATTCAAGGTTAAAGATAGTTTCCCTAGAGAAGCATTTTATTTCTTTTAACTATTTACAAATAACTGTTTTCTAAAATTTGCAAGCAGCTATTGTAAATTTATAATAAATAGTTGTGTATGCGACGGGCAACTGGATCCTTTTGTAAGTGGATGTGTAAAAGCACTGGTAAATGTATTAACTTAAGGTCAAAAATGCAAGTAATTATTAAGCAGTATTATTAGCAGGAAAACTAGAAACAGAGTGCAGACCCCCTCCCTCCTTCATCTAAATTAGGACAAAGTTGACAAAAAATTCTGTGATTCCATATCTTGTCATTTTACAGGTACTCTACGCTCCAAATTATTATTATTTATTCATTTATAACTTACTCCTGTGGGACATGAGTTGTCAGAGGAGCAGCTTTTTGTGTTTCCCTTGATTTCCATTGTCATTATTAATAACTTATATTCATTTGGCCATT